TTAATGGTGGCAATATCACGCCTCTCTTTTAAACAAATCCTTCCCCTATGACGTACAGATGTGAGGCAAAAGATTTACAACGAGAAATAAGGTTTTTCATGATTTGTTTAATGAAATCCAGTTTTATATCAAAATTTTAATTGCAATCGTCACTTTAATACCAGAATAAAAATGTCTGAGAATGTTGATCGCCATCGTTGCATCAAGTTCCAGTCAGTAATTATATTTATATAGCGGCCATCTTTACTGGACTCTTATATTTTATATGTCACGCTGTCGTTCTACACAGACACAAAAACACACAGTCAATCACAAATATTAATCTCGTACCACCAGCTAGATAGCACACATAATAAAGTGAAACAACCACAAACAGGGACTGACTGGGCACCGCACCACGGGACACGATCCGAGGGCCTAGGGGAATCAGTGGCCTATCAGCACTGATTGGGAAAAAAATAACTTTTTTGTCTTTAATCAAAATAAACAAAATTCATATTCGCATCTAAAGAAAAATATAATGACCAAATCCGAGGAAAAAATGATCTATATAGCGGGGTGTGGGAAAGGTGAGTCAAGCTATTTTCGATTCCTTCTCATGCCAAGTGGATCCGGCGTCTGATCACAATTCTTAATCTTACACAACTCGCTATTAAGCTCAACAGTAAACAAAATGAGCCGTTTTAATGTAAAAACGGTTGTTATTATGTTCAACAGTAAACAAAATGGGCTGTTTTAATATAGAAACTGTTGTTATTAAGCTCAACAGTAAACAAAATGGACTGTTTTAATGTAGAAACTGTTTTTATTTTGCTCAACAGTAAACAAACTGGACTGTTTTAATAATGTATAAACTGTTGTTGTTTTGTAACTAAAGGCACAAGAAGACATATTGTTCATATACATCTCAAAAAAATAAAAATATATGGCTGAATTCTTTAAAATCCCATGCAAAATACTATTTTATGAAATCATTCTCATACCTATAGATTAAAATACACAATTAATCTGTGAAATCATTCTCATACCTATAGATTAGAATACACGGTGGAATCATTCTCATACCTATAGATTAAAGTACACAATTTATCTGTGAAATCATTCTCATACCAAAAGAGTAAAATACACAATTTATCTGTGAAATCATTCTCATACCTATAGAGGAAAATACACCATTTTTCTGTGAAATCATTCTCATACCTATAGATTAAAATACACAATTTATCTGTGAAATCATTCTCATACCTATAGATTAAAATACACAATTTATCTGTGAAATCATTCTCATACCTATAGATTAAAATACACAATAGTCTCATATGCTATAGAATAAAATAGAGGAAATATGGTCTATTCACCTTTCCTTACTTTTGTGTTGACAAGTAGAGTGTCTTAATGTGTAAATGTTTTATAAATTATGAAATACTTGGCATTTTTTAACTATTTGTACTACAGGTAATTTACAGAAAAACAACTAAAAGAAATGTTTGGGATTCAAATACAAATTTTGTTTCGAAATCCTAAAATGGGAGATGGTATTCATACAGTGTGCTATGAAGGAAATTTTGCCTGAACCGCAGCGGTACAGCCTACTCTTATATCAAATTCCAACTGCCAAGGGATCTTTTACATGAACACAGGACCTCAGTTTTTAATCCAATCCGTATGACCAGACAGCTCTCCTTGTCAGTCCCTCGGTCTTGCACCACTGACAAGGGAAAACTACGCCTGAAAATTCCGATGAACTTTAGCGGCTAACACCGAGGGGCGAACCAGCGACCTCCGGGCTAGCGAGCCAGCGTCTTGCTCACTTAGCACCGTGTCTCCTTACTTATAGATAATTAGATTATTATACAACTACTACAAAGAGTGGGAGAACAATCTGGCATACCCTGCCTCATGGATGACACATGAAATTACTTAAAGCTAATCAGATATATAGATCAGTACTACCAAAAAACCCCTGTTAGCTAGAGGTACCTTTCCTCATGGTATGAGAGAGAGACAGACAGACAGAGAGACTGACAGATGTGGGCTAAAACCAACATGTTGTACACTTTTATTTCACTTGTGTGTAGGAAACCGTAGGCCCCGGACAAAAAACCATAAGGCTTGGCAGCCGACGCTAATCTTTCTCATGTACAAGCGGGGAATCAAAACCATGCCACTTTACTCAATGACAGATCTTATGATCTAATGTGTTGGACCACTCAACCATCCAAAATCCTAATAATTCCCCGCTTGTATGCGACAGCGTGGGGTCGCCTGTCCAACCGTGTGGGTTTGCTCCAGTTCCCCCCCCCCCCCAAGACAGCTAAAGACCCCTACTCTGAAGTGAAATATTGAAATAAAATTGAACCATATGTTAGTCCCGAAATGACCTAGTTTGTGTCGGATGGATGTTAAACCCCATTTCACTCTATCTCTCTAAAAATAAAAGTGAGGTAACATATTTGTAAAGTGTTGCTCTTATAGTGGTGGCAAAAAGCTATTTAGTGATAACCTACTTCTGAAGACCCCTATGTGCAAGTGAATTATTGAAATTGAACCACATGTTAGTCCCAAAATTACCTAGTTTGTGTCGGATGGATGTTAAACCCCATTTTTCTCTCTCTCATTAAAATAAAAAGTGAGGGAACATATTTTTAACCTGTCACTCTTATAGCGGTGGCAAAAAGCTATTTAGAGATAATAAAAAAAAAAACATGATGATCTGGGTGGGATTGTCCCGAAATCGTATCTCGGTGAGGGTGAAGATGAAACTTTAACATCCTCAGTTCTCATTTGTCAGTGGTGGTGACATACTAAGCTTAGACTGCCTATCTACAGTTACCTCTGCTTGAGGACAGACACTAAGCTAGTTGACTGACAGTTTAAGTCTTAAATTGATGATATTAGTTGAAAACACTATGTATACTGCAAGAATTTTGAGAAGTATTTATTCTGCATCCATTCAATAAAATTGAAAAGGTTTATTTGTTCTTTGTGTGTATGAAAAATGTGAAATGGAGTAGAACAGCATTACAAAATAGTACACTACTCTTTGGATATGGCGGTCATTCAGGGCAGGGATCTATTCTCGAAGTATGAAGTAGACTGATCTCTGTGTGCAGAATCTGGTGCTAATTGTGAAACTGACAAAGCAAATGAAATGAAATGAAATGGGGTTTAACGTCCTACTGTTCTGCCCCGACTCGGCTAATGAAGACAGGCTTAAGCCATACAGTGTATTAGGAGGGAAATTTTGCCCAGACACTGACAATACGGCCTACTCTTACATCGGATTCTAACACCAATGTGTCCCATCCAAACAACTACGCATTGTTCCTTGCCAGGCCCTCTGTCCTGCATCACTGACATGGGGGAACCTCACCGGAAAATTCTGATGAATTTTCTCGGCCAACGCAGGGATCGAACACGGAACCGGCAGGTTAGCGAGCCAACGTCTTACTCACTGAGCCACCATGACAAGGCAAATGTGTCAAGATGTTTGGATGAAAATTCAAGGCCCACCTGTGTACACATTGTCGTGCAATGTTGGAACTTGATGAAGGGTAAGTAGAAACTCTACTGCCCAGGCAAAATTCTCTTCCTACTGTTTAGCTCCCACTGGGCTAATGAAGACATGCATACATCATACAGTGTGCTATAAGGGGAATTTTGCCTGTACAGCGACACTGCGGCTTATTCTTAATTTAAATTCCAAATATCATGGGTTCATTTACGTGCAGGTCAATATGTACACAGGACCTTAGTTTTTTGTCCCATCCTTACGACTATACATTATCCCTTACCATACCCTCCGTCCTGCACTACTGACAAGGGGCTGCACCACTGACAAGAAGGGAACCACAGCAAAAAATTATCGCAAGTTCTGTCGATTATGCAAGTCATTGGTATGATCAAATGAATTACTGAAAGGTGTATCAGACCCAAAATGACCTGGTTAGTGTTGAGCAAATGTTAAACTCTCTCCGCGGCATTTGCTCCCCCCTATCTCTTTGTATCTCCCTCTCAATAATTTCCCTCCTCTTTCTCACTCTCCCCTTTGTCCCCCCCCCCTCCACACACATGCTCTCCACCTTCCCCCATATGTTAGTCTTAAAATGTCACAAATATCTAATTTGTTAAACTCTCTCTGCCGCTTTCGCCCCCCCCCCCTCATTTTTTGACTATCTCTTTTGTATCTCCCTCTCAATTTCCCCTATTCTTTCTCACTCTCCATTTGTGTCCCCCCTGGTCCCCCCACCCCTTACCCAGACACACCCACACACACATGCTTTCCACCTCCCCCCCATATGTTAGTCCCGAAATGTCATGAAATGGCTAGGTTTGTGTCCTGTGGAGGTTCAAACTGTCACTACCTTTCTCTATTAGATACTTCACAAGTTATAATAAAACATTTAAAAATATATTCTTCTATCTAATTGGTTAAACTCTCTCTCTGCTGTTTTCGCTCCCCATCATATTTTGACTATCTTTTTGTATCTCTCTCTCAATTTCTCTATTCTTTCTCACTCTCCTTTGATCCCCACCTGTCCCCCCTCCCCCCTGTCCCCTCCCCCCCCCACACACTCCCCCTCCCCCCCCATATGTTAGTCCCTAAATGACATGAGATGGCTATAGGTTTGTGTCCTGTGGAGGTTCAACCTGACACTACCTCTCTCTATTCGATACTTCACAAGTTACAATAAAACATTTAAAAATCTATTCTTCTATCTGATTTGATTTATATCCTTTGCCAATTAACAAATATTTTTTTTTATATTATTTTATTACAAGCCTAATATATTATCCAAAAAATCCATCTTCTTTACTATTACTGTTCCTAATTATACCATTTGTAACAATAAAAAAAAAAAAAAAAAAAATCTTCCAACTCAACAAATGATAACAATAAATCAAACAATTTCTGTAAGTGGCCTACAATATTGCAGTGTAGTGCAGTCAAGCCTATCACCCCTACACAATGGACTAAACCATATGTACATTTTACTTCGAGCCAATGTGCAATGTAAAATTACTGCCCGGTTCAGGCAATGTACACGAAATCTTAAATAACATTGAAACAACATTCAGCAACATGGATTTCTTAACGGTAAGCAATTGTTGTTATTTTTTTTATGATATTTGTATAATGTGAATTAAGAACAATGCTATATATATTTGATAAGTAAAACGGCTATTGTAAAAATGAATTTTGTGAAGGTAAAACACTCAGTGAATGAAGGGGTGTGTATGACCTAGAACATCGGCCATGCAACGTTATGCATTGTAACGGTACGAACAATTTGTCCGGTTTTTTTGGTCCGAATTCCACGTTTTTTCGCCGGATTTTTTCACATACTTTATGAGTATTGAATCGGTGTTGTGAATCCTATTGATAAATTGTGTTAATTTTGCGTTAAAAATGTATTTGATGTGGTTGACCTATTAAACACTATGCAAGTATGTGTATCAGTTGATAGTACGCAGTATACATACTCTGCAATTGAACGTGGTATTCACAAGAAGATAAATGTACTATACAAAATAACGCACAGTTTAACCATGGTGTATATGCGAGCACATGTTTATTATTTACCAAATACATTTTCTATGTATTATTTATCTAATTCAGAATCATAAAATATTTTGATATATAATAGCTCTCTTAATATTTAATTTGATTCTTATTTTTTTTTTAAATGAATGATATTATAATAAAAGTTCTATTTTTTTATCCATGGCCATGATATATTAATTGTATTATACAGCAGTTTTTTTTTAAATTAATAGTCCTTTATAGCCCTATTTGAATATGAGGATTTATTAGATATTAAAACAAGCTATAACTAGTTGTAGTAAATAGTCATAAGAATATGTAAAGTATATCTATTATAAATATCATACAGTTTTTGAATAAAATTAAGTTAATAAGCTTAAAATATAACTCAATTTAAATTTTTAATTGCCATATTCAGTCATATATAGTTGATGGACAAATAAGAATACTAATACATGTATGTAAAGTACAAATGCAATATCATGCTTATATAATGGACAATATTAATACATGTATGTAAAGTTCAAATGCAATATCATGCTTATACATGCATATAAAGGACAAAAGAATATTAATACATGTATAATGTAAAGTGCAAATGCAATATCATGCTTATATAAACTTTATTTAACTGTGAATATTGATCTGAAAAGACACCTACGTGCAGACATGGTTTATGGACATAGAATATATAAAGTACATACATACACAATTTCATACAATTTTAAAAACTAAGCTATGTTTAGTTATGGTTCATTGGCATCCAAGTCTGTAAAGAACATATACATGCATAAATCCATGATCAATATTATACAATTTTTAAATGAAATTAAATTGCCATAGTTCTATTTGAATACATGTATGATTATTGAATTTTTGATGAGATCTTAAAAGAAAGCCATATTCAGTCATAGTGCAAGGACATAAGAATATGTAAATCGTACAATTTTTTAACAACATTAAATTGTTATGCACATATGGCTCTAGGTGTATTTGAATATGGTTGTTGAATTTTTAATTAGATCTTAAAAAGAAAGCTATATGCAGGAATAATGCATGGGCATAAAAGTCTGTAATTGCTATATTTATACTTTTAGCTCTACTTAAATTTGATAAATAGAAATTTTAATGAGATTTTCAGAAGAAAACTATATTCAGTCATAGTTAATGGACATGTCACATAAGAACATGTAAAAATGCATATCTACAATATGATACTATTTTAAAATGAAATTCAGTTAATACAGTTATATACATGTCGTTTAATTTGGACGGTTCACGTATTTCACTGACCATAACTAATTAGAAATTACAATACATGTTTAAAAACTGAATACAAATCGCTTTATTTCCGTTAATATTACATTAATAAATGCTTTTAGACCCATTTTCCTCTCTTTTTTAAGTTCCAAATAATAGAGCCATACGTCCTTTAAGTGCATATGCAATATCATACAATTTTAAAATAAAATTAAATTTAGATATATCCTACAAGACAATGCGGAAGTAATTATTAATGGCTGATTCACAAACGACAAAATGATAATAAAAAAAATGTATAGAATTTAATAGAATGGACTAAGCAGCCGTAAACGACTGCCTTTTAATTTGGACAGTTTACATATTTTACCGAACATAACTGATTAAAAATTACAATATATGTTAAAAATTGAATATAAATCACTTTATGAAATAAAATTAAATTTAAAAATATTCTACAGGACAATTCAGAAGCAATTATTAATGGCTGATTCAAAAACGATAAAATGAAATTAAAAAAAAACCGCATAGAATGATAGCTGAAAACAATTGTCGTTTAATTTGGACAGTTCACATATTTTACCTAACATAACTGATTAGAAATTACAATACATGTTTAAAATTAATATCCATATGTCCTTTATCATACAATTTTAAAATAAAATTAAATTTATATAATTATATACCGGTAGCTCTATTTAATTTGGGGGGGGGGGGTGGCCGAATGGTTAGACTTCTATATATTCCTAGATCACATGAACAAATGAAAATTATTTAACTCAATAACACACAGACTTCTATATATTCCTAGATCACATGAACAAATGAAAATTATTTAACTCAATAACACACAGACTTCTATATTCCTAGATCACATGGGGGGGTTGGATGGCTGAACGGTTAGCATGCGCGCGCTGTATCATAAAGTCTGTCATTGAGTCAACTGGTGTGGTTTCGAATCCCCGGTTGTTTGTGACAAGGAGTAGGGTTGCATGTCCAACCTCGTGGGTTTTCTTTGGGTCCTCCGGTTTCCTCCCACTGCTAAAGACTTCTATATATTCCTAGATCACATGAACAAATGAAAATTATTTAACTCAATAACACACAGACTTCTATATTCCTAGATCACATGGGGGGGTTGGATGGCTGAACGGTTAGCATGCGCGCGCTGTATCATAAAGTCTGTCATTGAGTCAACTGGTGTGGTTTCGAATCCCCGGTTGTTTGTGACAAGGAGTAGGGTTGCATGTCCAACCTCGTGGGTTTTCTTTGGGTCCTCCGGTTTCCTCCCACTGCTAAAGACACCTACGCACAAGCGAATTATTGAAATAGAATCAAACCATATGTTAGTCCTGAAATGACCTACATGTAGTCTGTGTCAAATGGATGTTAAACCCCATCTCTCTCTCTCTCTCTATTTAATTTGAATATTGCTCTCTATTTAATTTGAATATTGGTAAAGGAATTTTAAAAACAAAGCTTTAAATATATTCATATAGTGTTAATTGTTATTTGGATCAAATATCAGACACTTTTTATTTAAATAGATAAAACTGAATCAATATACTTTAATAACCATATTTAGATTAGATAAGCAAAATGTTATAATTAGAACTTAAAAGGAAGCTATTTTTAGCTTTATATTATTCGGACATAAAAACATGTTATTGTAGAAATATTGGTTTTAATTTATATAAAAACAAACCGCATCCAGTCTTGTTTGGATTTCAAACAGTCTATATTATGGTCATATACAAATTGATGGATTTTTACAAACCCCCACATTTCTCAAAAACAAAAGTTTAAAACTCTTTATTCATAAATTAGTTGGCTACCCAATGTTTGTAAACAGTAAGTAATGTAGGCTCGTAATTAGGGGGGTCACAGTGTGTGTGTGTGGGGGGGGGGGTGGGGGGGGCAAAGACCACCCCCTCACCCCGCAAAAAATTTCGCCCCCCACCACTTGTGAGAAAATTGTCGACCATAAAAACAATAGATATACATTATCCGTCAATTTTACAGCACCCCTGAGAACACTTCCCACCCCCCTCGTTGCCCTGATCTAGTTGCAGCCCTGAAGTGATGTTATTGACAGATAAACAATGGACAATACTCCATTACCAGAACTTAAACTGTGAGAATATCTAAATTAATACATAGAGAGAGAAATGGGGTTTAACGTCCACTCAACACAAACTAGGTCATTTCGGGACTAACACATGGTTCAATTTTATTTCAATAATTCGCTTGCACGTAGGGATCTTTTAGCAGTGGGGGGAAACCGGAGTACCCAGAGAAAACTCACGAGGTTGGACAGGCGACCCTACTCATTGCCACGTACAACCGGGGATTCGAAACCATGCCAGTTGACTCAATGGAATACCTTATGATACAGCACGCATAATGCTAACCATTCGACCATCCACCCCCCCTAAATTATTATGCATATACAACAATTATTATGATCAACAGTATTGATGACAAATTATTCTGATTTGCAAAGACTTCTTTGATTGGCATTTATTGATTGAACATATTAACACAAGGTACAAGTTTATAGATACACAATTACTGAGTATAATACTAAGTTACGTTTTAAGTTTTAATTGTATTTGATTGTTATTTTTGTTGCATATTCTGTATATATTTGTCTACTATTCACATATCTGTATCATTTGCTTGATAAAGATGAGAGTATCCTCATCGAAAGGTCGCTTAGTATTAAACTCAGTAATTGTACCTTGTGTGGTAAATACTTATTTTTAGTTTAAGGTAAATTTGTATTGAGGGAAGATACACCTGTAATAGTATATGTATGTACAGGTATAGGCTATATAATTCACTCTACTTTTTGAGGTTAGAAGGGTTGCGTGGCTGAACGGTCTAATACATGCTCCTTTAAAGTCAGAGGGGTTGGGTGGCTGAACGGTCTAACACATGCTCCTTTGAGCTTAGAGGGGTTGGGTGGCTGGACGGTCTAATACATGCTCCTTTGAGGTTAGAGGGGTTGGGTGGCTGAACGGACTAATGTATGCTCCTTTGAGATTAGAGGGGTTGGGTGGCTGAACGGTTTAATGCATGCTCCTTTGAGGTTAGAGGGGTTGGGTGGCTGAACGGTCTAATGTATGCTCCTTTGAGACTAGAGGGGTTGGGTGGCTGAACGGCCTAGCGCATGCTCCTTTGAGGTTAGAGGGGTTGGGTGGCTGAACGGTCTAACGTACATTTGTATGCTCTTTTGAGATTAGAGGGTTTTGGGTGGTTGAACAGTCTAACGTACATGTATGCTCCTTTGAGATTAGAGGGTTTTAGGTGGCTGAAAGGTCTAATGCATGCTCCTTTGAGATTAGATCACTAGGTCTGTCATTGAGTCAAACGGTGTGGTGTCGATTCCCAATTTGCATTAAACTCATCAGTTATTAGTCGCAAAATGATCTAGTTGGGGTCAAGTGGACGTTGTGAGTTTTGTCTTAATTCTCAGGTTTCCTTCCATTGCTAAACACCCATACACACAAGTGAATTATTGAAATAAAGTTGAACCATATGTTAGTCCCAAATTGACCTAATTTATATATTAAAGACATTGCTCATAATTTGAGAGATTTTAAATCACTGGCAAACTACTGCATGATTGTACAGGTATAATAATCTTGTGAAAATTGAATCTCTAAAACAGGTGACAATAAACTGTACCTTGTTAATCCTTAATGAGGTATTATTACTCTCACTAGGGCTAGATTAAGATTTTGTAGTTCACCCCCGGGCTACAGGTATTGTCAACCCCATAGAAAGACAAAGTATCTTATCTAGGAAATGTTTACAACAAATATATTAACACAAGGTACAGTTTTATGGATACTCTCAAATAGGTTTAGTTGTAAATGACCACCAATCAAAGGTGTTAATACATGTAGACATTTTGATCGTTATGGTTGATGTATATTCTGTATATTCACGTTTTTCTGGCTTTAAATCATTATGTACATGCAATCTGATTAAAACACAGATCCTATTTTGTTTCGTTTTTTTTTTTTTAGTTCAAAATTTCGTTTTACTTGTTTTTACTACACTAGGATCTGGAAGAGTAGCTTTATAACCAGTGTTCTGGATGATGCGAGGGATTAGCCAATGAAACGATTTGTTACGGCGAGCTTTAGGCGTGTTTTGCACAGAACAGTGGGTAACCCACTAGAAACATCAACGCTGATTGGTTAATCAAATGTCTGTTGTCATAGGGTCAATTGCCGCTTGTATAACCACGGAATCAGCCTTCCATTACAACCGGTCAGATCTTCATGTAGTAGAGACCATCGAAAGTATAAAAAAACGAAACAAAGTATACAGGAATGTGGGTCAGAGTAGAAATATTGTTTGAACCATCTGTGCACCGGTCTTATTATTACCGGTATGCAATTCTTTTATGTATGTGGGGTAGGTTTTATACGACATAATTATAGAGTATTTCAATAAACTTATAAAGATTTAAATTTTCCTGGTATTATACTACATGTAGCTGTTTTGAAATACTAACTGTTAAGGGTTCTATTTACAGCCCTTGTGAATGTCTAGGCTCTCTGTCCTGCAACTTTCCGACATGGTTTCCCCTGTCATTGGTGCTGGACAGAGGGCCTGACAAGAACAGCTGTCTAATCGATTGGATTTGACGTAAAACTGAGGTCCTGTGTACACATTGGCCTGCACATAAAAGATCCCTTGGCAGTTGGAATTTAATATAAGACTAGGCAGTAGCATCGCAAAATGTCCCTCAAAGCACACTGTATGATGTATGCCCGTCTTCATTAGCCCAGTCGGAGCAGAACAGCAGGACGTTAAACATCATTTCATTTCATTTCTGTCCTGCACCACAAACAACTTTCTCGGCCACTACCGGGATTAAACCAGAGACCTCCAGGTTAGTGAGCCAGGGTCTTACTCACTGAGCCACCATGACTCTCTAGCAGTATGTGGGGGGGAGGGGGGAGCTGGGAGCTGGGATGCTTGTATGGAGGTTTGATGGTACATGGTGTTTATTCACACTATATGTATAATTTATTTGCATTATTTTCAGGTAGAATTATGGAGTTTCGTCTACCAAGTTTAATCTTTATCATATTTACAAGTTTTTACTGTTTCAATAACCGGAGCGACATCGTTCCGGAGGTCGACGCGGCTGTGGGGCTGACCATGGCCTGTCGCCATAACAACAGTAAACCGCATCATACCTCAAGACATGTAATATACTCAGGTAAGTTTAACACTAATTGTTACCATGGCTACTGACATATCACATGATCAAAACATACAAAATGGTCGCCTTGAGACGATCTGTTCATTCTTCTCCCTTTAACTTCATTGTTGCTGAAATGAAGGCTTACAAACTTTTTATTGCCAAATATTACACCATTTCCCCACAGTAAAGGTATACATGTACCTTTCATATGACACAATTTAAAGCCTCGGATAGTCGTTTGAGTGATTGTTAATTCCTTGAAAACTACAATATTGTGAAAGCTAAATCTATAAAAATTGCTGAGCATTATTTACAAATATATAGTGAATTGAAAATTGATCAGTATCAGAAGATGAGGTAAACAAGCCATAACCACCTACAATGTATACATACTAAACTTAGGCTGTCTGTCTACAGTTAGCTCCGCTTGAGAACAGACACTAAGCTAGTTGACAGACATGTTAAGTCCTCAATTGACAATTTTAGTCAAAAAAACTAAGTGTACTTCAAGAATTTGGTTGAATATTTATTATGCTTCCATTTAATAAAACTGAAAAAGTTTATTTAGTATTTGTGAAACGGAGAAGCAGAGCATTATAAATCAGTAAACTAATTTTTGGATATGGCGGCCATTTAGGGCAGAGATCTATTCTCGAGGAATGACGTAGATGGATCTCTGTGTAGAGAGTAAAAAATATATTGGAATCGGCGACTTTAATTACTTTAATTGATAGCACATCCTTTCAGCTAATGAAAATCATTGTGCATGACTACAAATACAAGTACTGACATCAGGGATGCTGACATAAGTCATACCAAAAATAAACTATTTGAAGAGCCCCGTGGAAGAACGATCTAAGTCACTTTTTCAACGAACCCCAGTTAATGGCACCATCTGGTAGCAAATTGTATAAGCTTTCTGTGGAACAATCTATTTTAGGTAAAAACGATCGGAGTCACATCAACCAAGGCCCTTCTGAAATGGCCTCCCAGACAAATACAAGTTCGTCGTACCCTTTATTTAACCTTAATTTGCCCGAAAAGATGAAGTCAGTTGTACTGGTAATTAAATATCATTTTGAAGTTGCAATTCAACCTACTCTTTGTTCTGATCGCATCAAACATTCTCGTCCAAAAGTCTGTTTTGCCTTTTATGCGAAAAGACAAAAATGTGACTTAGATCGTTCTTCCCCTGCACTCTTCATTTCAAAAAGACAGAAATTTTGGGTTTTTAACCGGTGTTGTATCACTGAGTCAGTATGAAAGAAAATCACAAGACATTCAGACCTTTCAGAGAAACAGAAAAGCATAATTATACTTTCAGTTTATTTCTTACATCACTGAATAATAATCATAGAGGTTAGAATACAAACATCTGATATACATCAGTTTTCTCTTGTGCAAATACAGTGTATGTACAACATACATCAATATTCTCCTGTGCAATATGTACAATATACATCAATATTACCCTGTGCTATATATATTATACATCAATATTCTACCATGTAATAAATACAATAGATCACAGTAAAGGCAACATTTGATGATCAATATACATGGGTCTAATGTGTAATATAACCCATAACCCACAGTCTACATGTATATACATGGGTTAACTGTATTCCACATTACCCCAAGTCAATATACAAACAAGCCCATGCCTTATTATTCACAATATTATAAAATATATTAAAAAGGCCAAAATGTTTTAATATAAGGCTTCATATACATGTACATGTTCTCTTAACATCAAGTATGAATATATACATGTATAGAGAGAGAAATAGGGTTTAACGTCCACTCGACACAAACTAGGTCATTTTGGGACTAACATATGGTTTAATTTTATTTCAATAATAAGCTTACACATAGGGGTCTTTAGCAGTGGGAGGAAACCGGAGGACCCGGAGAAAACCCACGGGGTTGGACAGGCGACCCTACTCCTTGTCACGTACAACCGGGGATTAATGTATGAATATACATGTATATCAATGGATGTTTCAATGATATATTTTATCTGTCAGGGTGAGTGTTTGATGTGAAAGGGTGAATGTTTAATACTTATACATATAGGTATTATTAACTTGAATAGGTTCTGAAACATTGTTTTTAATTGATGTGCTGGTTGAGAAAGTTTATGAGGACTTTCTGGCATGGTTTCCTCTTGTCCTTTGTGTAGGAAGGAGGGACCTGTCAAGCGACAACGTATAGTCGTTTGGTTGTGACGAAAAACCGAGGTCCTGTGTACATATTGGTGTGCCTATAAAAGAACCCTTGATGGAATTTGAAATAAGAGTAGGTCGTAGCGTTGCTGTCTGGGCAAAATTGCTCTCATTAGCCCAGTCAGAGCAAAAAAGTAGGGAGAGAGAGAAATAGGGTTTAACGTCCACTCGACACAAACTAGGTAATTTTGGGACCAACACATGGTTCAATTTTATTTCCATAATTCGCTTGCGCGTAGGGGTCTTTAGCAGTGGGAGGAAACCGGAGGACCTTAAGAAAACCCACAGGGTTCGACATGCGACCCTACTCCTTGTCACATACAACCGGGAATCGAAACCACGCCAGTTGACTCAATGACAGAATTTATGATCAGAAAAGTAGGATGTTAAACCCTATTTCATTTCATTTCTGTCCTGCACCACAAACAAGTTAGTGGGCCAGGGTCTAGGGCTCAGACCCCATTTAATTTCATTTCTCTGATCGGACATGTACATTCATGTTTCAGTTCAAAAAACGTTTATTTATAAATTTAAATTCTGTATTCAAATACCTTTGAATTAGTATGTGAAAATTATGACATTTAAATCATAAAAAATGGTCGAAATATTTAGATTTTCTGAAAAAAAAGTGATCGAATATTACTGATGTAAACATAGCAACTAAAAACAGCAAATTTCATAAATTTTTGATAAGTTGCCACATTTAGCATTAAAATATGGACTTGTTGGTAGCTGCAACTGCATACTTGATTTTAGTGTACTTTTATTGCATTTTAAAAGTCTATAACTTATTAATTACATGACCGTTTATTTTATCCTGATAAATGGGTGAAACTATAGAAAGGATTGTTAGATAAATGAATATTATGGGGATATAAATATCAAAATGTTCAGAGATTTTTTGTTCTGTGTGGCACAACCCTACCTTTGAGCGTTGGAGAAAAAATAATACGGTCATTTTTTGGATAGAAAGTCAAAAATTTGGGAACTAAATTATGATTTAGAAAGAGAAATTGTGATTCCATTGAAAATAAATATTTAGAAACTCAAAAGATATGTTTCATGCCGTTTCTACATGTAACTAATACTATGACGTACAACGTACATTCCTGTTTACCTAATTTTGTTATATGTTCATTTATGTATTTTAATTTAGTACATGTACACGTATGTGTACATATTTTAATGTTTAGCTAATTTATTTTGTGAGCTAATTTTCAAAAGACCACTAATATTTGTGTTTCATTTATTTATTTTGTGAGCTACTTGTCAATATAACTGTCATTTTCGAGTCTCATTTATTTATTTGGTGAGCTAATTGAAATATTTTGTGAGTAAATTCTCATTTTCAGTATATAACTGTAATTTTCAAGTTTCATTTATTTATTTTGTGAGCTAATTTTCAATATAACTGTAATTTTCGAGTCTCATTTATTTATTTTGTGAGCTAATAAAAAAATATTTTGTGAGCTAATTTTCAATATAAAGTACATGTGGGCATATGGAGGAAGATGCACTCTGTAACTCTTAATAATAATAATAATATTGTCTTATTTAGTTCAATCTGGTTAAAACAAAAATCATGAAAGACTGGATACACTATTATTGTAATGGACAGAACAAAACCTCTCAATATAGGCTGGACACGCATGCAGATTATAACTGTCCGTGCAATGACTTCTGCCTGTTGAATATTTTTGCTGCGAGACCGCTTTCATATTGATTTTTTTGAGATAAAAGATAATTTTTTTGTCTGGGTTGTGATGAATTAAGAGGAGTGCAGGCTCGACACTGGAAGTAAAATCAATATTGTATGTACAGTGAGCAGACGGTCAGTTGGCCGTTCTGACTTGCTTCTTCCCCCGTGTTTTAATTGATTGGTGAGAGTAAAATACATGAGCTGGTTATAAAAAGATGTGGACGCTGCTCTTGAAGACTTGACCAGCAAATGAAATTAAAATGAAAATGAAATAGGGTTAAACGGTCAGTTAGCCGTTCTGACTTGCTTCCCTATGAGAGTAAAAACAACTACTATATGCATTTGGGCGCTGCTATCAAAGGCTTTAGTAGCAAATGAAATCAAAATTAACGTCCACTCGACACAAACTAGGTCATTTCAGGACTAACACATGGTTCAATTTTATTTCAATCATCTACTTGCGCGTCTTTAGCAGTGGGAGGAAACCAGAGGACCCGGAGAAAACCCATGAGGTTGGACAGACGACCCTACTCCTTGTCACGTACAACCGGGGAATCGAAACCCCGCCAGCTGACTCAATGACAGACCGTATGATACAGCACGCGCATGCTAACCATTCGGCCATCCAACCCCCCAATTTTGTCTGGACAGCAACATTTCCGACAAGAGTATAAATTCCTGAAGAACTTCCATTGGGATCAAATCTGGGACCTCTTAGTCTGTGAGTTCACGTTAAATATATACCAGCTACATCTAATTAGAGGAAGGTTGGGAAGGGGGGGTGGCAGTTGTCTCAATCAGAATGGTCCAGGTTTTAATCTGGATATTTCATATCCTGTTGGTAAGGAAAGTCTTGGCTAATCGTTCAGGTGTGACCGAAACTTGGCTATTGGAATTTGATAAGGAATGGGTAGAAATGCTGCTATCCAGGCAAAATTGCACACATGACCAAAAAAAGATTACTATAAATGGATGCTAGTCGCAAAATGACAGAAGTTTGGGGTTGACAAGACATTATATTCCGTTTATTTCCACAACTAAATTTGTTCATTCTCAGTAACCTGGACAACCCGGTCTAAATATAAAAGATT